TGATGTATCTACAATTTTGTTGCAAGGAATGAGATACATTATTCTAAAAAGCGATTCAATACATATTGAGTCATGCTTACCAATCGTATGGTATAATCTTATCACAAAATGCTTACTAACATCTTCCCAAGGTTTGCATTGTATGTATAAAGGAGTATATATTTCTGTAATATTTCTTTTACTCTTAACTGGCTATCTAATTTTGCATTGTAATACTACACAAGCCACGCCTATCTAGATTAGGCCAATAATTTCTTCTACAATAACAATAGTTGCATTCCTTCTAAAGTAGCCCATAACACTACTCATAGGCAATTTTGTATCAAGGAAATCTCTTGGTGAAGAATCAAGAATTCATCAACAAGTTCCTTAAAAAAAGATAACCATCTCTAATTATAAAATGAACACTAAGTTTAGTTCATTCATTAGTGAATGCATTATACATTCACTTAAAATATTGGAAATTTATTTAATCATTTTTAATGTAGTCAAAATGAATTTCTTTTAGTATTTTATATCAATATGTTTAAAGCATCAAGCAAATCATGATACACAATATTTTTTTTTTTTCAATGTGCAAAGCTTAAAGTAAAGAGAAGATTTTACTAATTAGAGTGTTCATGACTTGTATATCATATATGCATACAATAATTATTTAATTAGTTAAACTTAAACCAAAATTAGATAATAATTTTTAACAAATATGATGATAAGTTCACTAATAGTAATTTTCAATTATTCGAAAGCCAAAAAAAAAAACCGAAGATATAATAATGAAGTGTTGAAACAATACTTAAAAATCAACAAGGCTCAAGTTTGAGTGACTAGCCAGAGACCGAGAGATGGAGGCAGTGTGAATCAAGACTATGAATATAAGACATTGAGAAATATTTTTGAGAATAAGTTTGTTAGGTGTGAGCTAGAAATTACTAGCATAAAAAAAAAAGAACCAATGAGAAATGTGTATGAAAGCTAGTGGGCAAGAGAGAGTATGAGGTAGAATCATAAAAAAATGATTAGCTCCCAACGACTAAATGACTATGAGTCACATTGAGAAGTGAAATATTCATGTTTAGTTATTGCAATAGATGCTGAATTGAAACATGAATATTATTCAAATATATTTTTGAGCTTGAGTGGGCCTTGTACTTCCACACGACACAATAAAGTGGGGTGACATGCTTTCTTTGCTACTAGGGCTGGAAACGAACTGAGCCGAGCCGAGCTTCAGCCTGTTCGAGTTCGAGCTTATTTACCAAAATCGTGCTCAAGCTCGGCTCGTTAAGATTCGAGCTTCTTTGGCTTCTGTTCGAGCTCGAGCTTGTTTAAAAATCTCTTGTTCGTGTTTAGCTCGTGTTTGGGTTTGTGCTCGATTAATTTGAAGCTTATCGAGCGGCTAGTTTAACGAGCTGATCCCGATCTCAATTCACAAAACATTTTTCATCAAATTGAGCCAGCTTACCAATCGTTCAAACCCTGATTGCGAACCAAATCTTATCCGACCCAACCCATCTGCCTGCTGTTCAGCCAACGACTTTCACATGCATATTTTTTTATTGTTGTCCAGGCGGTGTGGGACTAAACCCTCACACTTAATTTTTTTTTTCATTTTCCTGTGGCCACGGAGGAGAGAGAGAGAGAGAGAGAGAGAGGCAGGTAGGCAGGAGAATTAAAACGCTAAAATGAGGAGAGAGAGAGAGAGAGAGAGGCGGGCGGGTGGGAGTTTAAAAAAGTAAAAAAAAAACTTTTATTTATATATAACTATATAAATAACATTAAATAAGATAATGTTAATTCATTAAACTTAATTTATATAAATTTAAAATTAGTTAAATAAGAACGTTAAAATTTAAAAAACTTAATTTATATATATTTTTAATTAAATAAGGCATAATCGAGCTTCTTAACGAACATATTCACGAGCCCTAAACGATGTTGTTTGTGAACATAAACGAACCGAACGCCAGGTTATTCAAGATTGTTGATTTAGCTATTGAGTATATTCAAAGTTGTTTAAATTTGTTCATTTATCTTATCAAACGAACATAAACGAGCTCTTATCGAGCTGAGCCATAAATAGCTCGTCGAACGCTCGGTTCATTTGCAGGCCTTTTTGTTACGAGTTTTCACTTAATAGTTAATTGATGTGCAAGGCCAAACATTATATTCTTGTTATTTTTTTCTCAAGTAAGTCATAGTTTCATTGATGAAATAAGACTACGTCAAGAAGTAAAAGAGTGCTGCTAACTGTCAGTGATCAAAGAAAATCAAAATTACATAAAATAAATTGCAAAAAAAAAAAAATAATAAATCTAGAACAACAACAGGAATAGATACCATCTAGCTCAAAGTATATTCTTGAAATTTCTCAACATGTTTAGCATGTCTATAACACTTTTTTTTTTTTTTGTAAGAATAATCTGTTTAATAAATAAATAATGTCTTCAATATTTAAATGTTTGTATTGTTTGTGGACTTACCTATTATATTTAGAATATATTTGCTTGGTTCATTTAATATTTCACTAAAATAAGATACTCATCTTGAATTGGAACTCCTTAGTACCTACTCCTGAAGTTTCACATGAAATATCAAAATAATTTATGAAATTTGGTAATTAAAGCACAATGAGTGTCGATAAGTTTTCTTAAATATTTTTAGATGCTTGGTCAATAGTTTTGACAATTAAAACTCTCTTTTGAAACAATTAGTAATAGATGTTATGATTGTACAAAATCCTTTAGTAAAGTTTTTATAAAGTAGTAAAACCTTAAAAAATCTTGCTTCATGGATATCATTTGTTTTCTCAATTTATTAATTGTTTTAATTTTCACAAGATTAATTGATGGTCCTTTAAATTGAAAATCTCAAAAAATATTATGAAGTAAGAAAATTGAAACTTATAGAATCAAGTATAGAGCTCATTAAGGGTGTGTTGTTGATGATAAATAGACATCTTATTTCAATTACAAAGTATCTTTGAAGAAACATGAACATCAAATTAGGTTTACTAAGTTCAAATTAATTAGACAAAATAAAACATATTGGATAAGAGTTGCAAAAATAAAAATTACTCATTTATATGTGGCATTTCAGTGTGAAAATCATGCATGTCTTATGCAAATTAGTCAATAAACTTAGTAGGCATATCTTATACTGGCAAAGAAACCCTATCTATGATCTATATCGGCTGATAAAATGCCACCACTTGAAAGGACTCGCCTTGGTAGAGCCAGTCATAAAGTTTTTGTAAGCAAAATCAGCTATATGGAGCAATATAGACCAAATAAAAGTATGCTCAACCATACAACGGAGATCTCCTTTACTCCTATTCACCTCTTAAATCTGTCTTTTGATCAAAATATGATAACTACAGCAATTTGGTTTAGTAAACATCATCTTTGAAATAGTTCTTACAATGTTGTTCATATTGTTAACATCTCCAAGAAACTATGGTCTTAAAGAGATTTTCATCATAAACACCTCATTAAAAAGTGCTTTGGCGTGTGTCATCAATGATCTTATAGTAGGAAATTAGGTGAGCGGCCATTGTAGAGAAGTAGCAGACTTTAACAAGGTCTAGCTTCTTCATTTGATAGGATATAAGAGGGCATAGTCCATACTAATATTTTCTAAGCATGGCATAGGAAATGAAGCAAAGGAACAATCACTTGTTTACTTTCCTTTGGCAAGTTGATAAGTTGACTTGGAACCATAATGTCAGTAACTTCATGTTCAAGGTTTGCCTAGTTGGCCAATTTAATCTAATGCAAGGAAAATGATGTTTTTGGTAAAAGTTGGCCTTATCATAGGACTTATGATACATATAATTTGTTAAATCAATTTTTATATGAATTGTCTACAATAATAAATTATATAGAAACACATGAAAAAGCACCTTAAAATGTGATAGTGTGAAACACCTTTCATGAACAAAATAAAGGTCATGACCAAATTACATACACAAATATATACATATTTTTCCCAAAAAGGTGTGACCGTGCAAAACATCTTTCATGGACTCAATGAAGGCCAACACCAAATTATATGTGTGTGTGAGAGAGAGACCTCTTAATTACTCAATTTTAAAAAAAAGGTGGGGAAAGGGGGGAGGGGTCTACTAATTGTTGGTTGTTATGACCTTATTGGTTTCTTTAACTATATCATTGTTTAAAATTGCGCAATATGAGGCTCGACTTAAGGCCTGCCTCAGCGCAATTCTAGTGAAAAATGAGTCGAGGCTTACGCCTCTAGCTTTTTTATGAGGCTTGCGCCTAAGCTTGGCTAAGGCCTGCTAGCGTGATGCTTATGCCTCACCCTATTTGTATATATTTTTTGTTAAAACTAACATAAATCACGCCTTCATGCACGTTCAAGCGCAACAACTTCGTCTCGATTGCTTTTATAATATTTAATATTATTTTGCTCTTATAATATTTAGATTTTAATTCCATTTCACATAATTTATCACTGGTACTTTATATATTGTGCAATTTTTTGTTTCATATTTATGCAAATTAGTTAATTCATAATTCAATAGGAAATTAATATGTTATCATTCAATATATTGTTTAGGTATTATATAAAAAATCACTTTTGACATTTATTATCACTTTACGCAATTTTATTTTATTTTTATTTTGAGGCTTACGCCTCAAAATGCCTTAAGGCTTACGTCTCGCCTCATGAACAAAAAAACGCCTTAATATCCAAATATCCAATCACGCAATTTTAAACATTGAACTAGATAATTGGAGTTCCTCATCTTATCTGGTTGATGAGGTTCAAGCTGGTAATGTTTCATTATCAATGCTGTTAGATATATTCCCTGGCCCAAAAACAACTATGATTTAAATATAGTAGAATTGTAGGTGATTATGCTAACATATACCTTTAGTAGCTTTGTGTTTGATGTTGAAATATAAAGTAGGTGATGCAGCAAAACGAATGGATTTCATGACACTCTTTAACATGATTATCTACCATGTTCAAATCTATAGGTACGTTTCATGCGTTGTGGGTTGTCCTGTTGAAGGGGTAGTTCCCCCCCTTAAGGTTGCTTATGTAGCAAGAAAACTTCTTGAGATGGGCTGCTATGAAATCTCCCTTGGCGACACAATTGGGGTTGGTACTCCAGGTGTGCAAGTAATCTTCTTTTACATATTTAGCATTGAATTCATTATTCAAGGTTCTTGAGTTGATTTTTATTTTGTTTTTAGTCCCATCTTTTTCAATAAAAACATTTTTTTGGCAAGATATTTGTTATTCAATCCTCTCATGTGCTATATTGTCCTCTCTCAATGTAGCTATTCCCTAGTAGTTTCTAGCAACTGAAAAATTATATTTGATTTTTATCTAACCTCAATTCAGTTCACATATGCTGATTATTATATTACAACATTTAATTATTGAAAAAATGCATCTACTCATTATCCAACGACCAACATACAATAGTAACGATGTTTAAGGAAGTAATAATCACATGTTTCTAGGAAATACCTAGATTTAAGGATGGAGACTGCAAGATGGGACAATGACTAGGGTTCGTGGGATGCATGTGTAATGTAAGATAATGGCATATTTGCTATCACAAATAGTTTATAGAATTTGAAATTTATATGTGCTAGCTAGCTTAGTTGATAAATATCTTAAAAATTGTGTCAAGGAATTGGGCTTTGAATCCCACTTTCATCAAATTTGTTTCCAGCATTCTCATAAGTAAATTGAAGTTTTAAATTTGATAGAATGAAAAAAAATACAAATTAGTCAATGACGAAAATGTAAATGAGGATCAACTCAAGGAACTTTAACGAATTCTTCCTATTTTTTTAACAAGCTTAGTTGGGCTCAATGTTTCAATTGATGTTTTGGGGCTTCTCTCCGGGTGTGTAATCAACAGAGATATTTGACTTGTAGAGCAGCACATGCCAAGGCATTGTCCGTAGTGCTCAGGGCTTAATGCCTTGTTAATGGGGCAAAAACCCCATAATATTACTTAAATTACATTATTAGATTTCAACATATTCATTTTTTTGCCAAACTTTATTTAGTTTAAAAACAATAGGTTGTTTGCCTCATTATAGAAGTAATTGACCCTACGAGAATCTCTAGAGGCACATTAGCTAAGTACCGTAGACATTTATCTTATTATCATTCAAACACTTCAGTTCGCCCCATGCTAGGGTCTGCCTATTAATGAATTCTGGAAAAACCAAATCCGAAGAGGCTGTCTGTAGGCCATGTAAGTTAGGCCTACCATTTCTTGCTTGGAGAAATGTGCCCCATTCCTCAGAAAAATTATTGTGTTCGGACAGGGTACCGAGCGGTACCGCTGTCGGTACCGACCGTGGTACCGAGCTCGGTACCGAGCGCCTAGTGATGTGTCGCATTTTTATTGGTCTCTGGACATGTTCAGTGTCCGGACACACTAATTACTCCATTCCTTGAGGGATGCTCTTGCCCCAGTGATTAAAAATGCCTGATCATAAATATCTACGCAAATCCATGCCACATATTAGGTGTGCTGATAAAAAAAAACCTTCTCAAGAAGAAGATACCCTCCCAAATGTAGTTGATCCAACTATAAAAATGAGTTTCAAATGGGTTTTTATGTAGATTGTTTTGGCGAGTGTAGGATTACTCCCTAGTGAATATTGAAAGATGGTGGAGCATCTGTGATTTCTGTGGTCTTTTTAGGGTTGAGGGGGAACTTTTAACTTTGGCAAAGGTAGATCAGAAGATGAATCATTGCCATGATTACCCTTGCTTGATGTAAAAAATATTTCAAATTAGTTGTGCGATAATGTGAAACATAGTGAAATAGCTAAATAGTTAAAATGATGATTATAAACATGGGTAAGTTGTTAACGAACGAAACAAGCTTTTTAGCTCTTTACTCCACAGGTTAGAAGTGCCTTCAAGTGTGTGACCACAGATTAACTGCAAATACACTCATGTCATGTCCAAGGAGACTTAAATAGTATTACCTTTTTCAAGAGTCTTCGAGAATATTCTTTTGGATTCAAAAATGCACTATTGAACCCAGCTATCTTGGAACAAAAATTTTGCATCACATTTATTTTATTTTATATTAAAAATATTATTATTGCCTTTTGATACTTTGTTTGCTTCTCTTGATCTATGATGTGATCCAGGAACTGTTATTCCAATGCTTGAGGCTGTAACTACTGTTGTCCCAGTTGAGAAACTTGCCGTCCATTTCCACGATACATACGGTCAATCTCTCTCAAATATTCTAGTGTCCCTACAAGTAAGCAGTATCATTTGCACTCTTCTCATTATGGGCTGTTTGGCCACAAGTAGGATTTTGTAAATCTTGTAAATTCATATTTTGTAAATCCTTGTAGGACTAAAATCTGAAAATTATTTGGCATGAAAATTATTTAATTTTGCCAAATCCTATTAAACTATTTTGCAATTTGTTTTAGGATTTAAAATTTGTGAGGGTATAAATCCTTATATCCATTAAATCTTTTGAATGATGGGGATTAAATAAATCTTAGTTTTACTCAATAATGAGTTTGAAATCAGATTTTTATCCAAACAATAGGATTTAAAAGTATCCTGAATTCTATTTTACAAGATTTAATCCGAATCTTGTTTAAATCCTACCTAAAATTGGATAGCATCAATCTTTCATAGAAATAATATAATTTTTCTAATAATTTCAGATGGGCATTAGTACAGTGGACTCATCTATTGCTGGACTTGGGGGGTGCCCATATGCGAAGGGCGCCTCCGGCAATGTCGCCACCGAGGATGTTGTTTACATGCTCAATGGACTTGGAATAAAAACCAACGTCGATCTGGGGAAACTCTTAGGCGCCGGGGACTTCATCTGCAAGCACTTAGGCCGCCAGTCTGGATCCAAAGCTGCAATTGCGCTTAGCAGAGCCACATCTATTGCTTCCAAATTGTAACTTGGAATGTTCTGCACTTCATCATCAACGCATCTAAGGCTTCATCAACCAAAGCCATCCAGTAGTAAGAGGAGAAACACAACACGAGATATTTGTGCAATATGAATTTATGTCATAATGATGAATTGCCACTATTTTAGTAAAAATCTTGATATAAAGAGTGATATCCTTCTATGCAATGTTCCCAATTTAAACAAGTAGAGGTTGAAGTAGCAGGGTAAATAGTAGGTAGTGTGGTTTAGTAAGCATAATAGATAGTTGCTCAGGCAGGTTCCAACCAAGCTCATTAATAATCACTGAAAAATTCAGCAAAGATTGCAAGTTATTGATTTCAGGTATAGTTTTCCCATAATACCAATGATCCCAATAAAGTGCCATGGGGCTGGATGGAGACGCTTAAAAAGAAAATTTGGCTTTTGCTGCAGCAGCAACTTTACATAATTGTTTCAAGCAAGAGGTAGCAGTGGAGGGAGGCGGCTTGCAAGGGGAAATATACCTATATAAGAACCTTTTCGAAAGAGGAGAGCTCCTATTATAAGTTTTGGCTATAAGATAACATGAAAAACAAAATTGGAGAGCTTGGAAAGATGGTAGTCCAATACCTCCCTTGGACTTTGGCTTACAAGTGTTGGACCATTATATCAGGTAGAGTTTAATGGTATCCCCAAAGTATAAGAATTTTACACAAAGCTTGCCAATTTGTTTAATAATGGTTTTTTTGAAATTATAGACCCATGTATCTAGTAGGAAATATAATTCCAGATGGTAAAGCGCAAGAATTGCACCCTGCTAGCAAAAGAGAGAGGCTTAGCTTTCCACCATCAGAGAGTTTTTTTTTAAATTAACTTGAAGACCCAAAGAGTTGGCCAAAATATGAAGTTTTGTGTTCAAATTGGCACAATTAGATGCTTAAGCTCTCCCAAATATAAGAAGATCATCTACATACATCAAGTGGGAAAGCATGTACCCATCAAAGTCTAAAGCTTCAAATTGACTAGCAGGAATCAGACTATCCAGAAGGTAAGAGAAGGTATCCATAACAATGCAGAAAAGATAAGGAATCAACGGGCAGCCTTGCCTAAGACCAATAGAGGAATAAAATAATCCTCCAAAGTCCCATTTATACATATGGAAAACCAAACATAAAAAATACAATCTTTGATCCATTAAATGAAAGTGTTAGGAAAACATTTATGGGCTTGTCTAACAATCACAAATTTCTTAGAGACACTATCAAAGGCTTTATTTATATCCAGTTTTGTATAGAAAAGTTTATATTTAGTCGAGGTTCTGGAGTGAAAAAGTAGCTCCTTGGCTAGGATGGCATTATCAGTAGAGATCCTCTTTTGAATGAAGCTGGTTATCTCTTACAATGTAAGGCATGATAGGGTTTAAATGAAATGCCAAAATTTTTGCTATGATTATATATATTGTATTACAAAGGGAAATGGATCTGAAATCTAATAATGAAGCAACATGATTTGATTTTGGAATTAAAACAAGAGTAGTGGCATTAACTACTCTCGGGATATATCCTGTAGAAAAAGGATTTAAGAACTTTATAGACCTTAGGCCCATTCAATAGATAAGTAGCTTTATAAATTTCAAAATTAAAACCATCAGGATTGGGAGTTGAATTAGAACAACTAGAGAATATAGACTTCTTAATTTCCATATGAGAGATGGGTTTGATGAGAGTAGCAGCTAAATGTGCTAGAAGAATGTCACTAGGAAAGAGACTTATGTTAGAGGATGGAGGCTGGGTAGGATTGAAGAGTTTTTGAAAATGGTCTGTGGTTGCACTCACAGCTTTAGAATAGGTGGAGGAAGTGCTCTCCATGGATAATGTGATGGAAGTTTTCCTATAATTCCTTCTCATATGAATTTTGGAATATAAAAAGTGAATGTCATCTTCCCCATGTGATAACCATTTTGCTTTTGCTCTTTGTACTATCCATAAGGTCCAAGAAGAAGATAAATAAACTATTTGCATATTTATATCCTTGAGGGCAGAGGTAAGCCTCGTGTTTTGGGAGTCCAGGCACAGGCTCTTGAGGTAGTCATCTTGCTTTTGATGAAGCAAAGAAAGATACTTTGTGACCATTTTAGAATTAGCTTGGTACTTTGATTTGATTTCTAATTTTAAAAACTTGGGCTTTTTGCAAAAATCTGCAAGTTGATGGCCATAGGAAGGGGTCAAAAAATTGGTAAGAAAATCTACCAAAATTTGTCGAAATTAATCCATTAATATATGAGTAGAATCTATGATAAGCAGTTATTTGGGCACCATATTTCGGCATAATAGGGTTGTGATCCAAGCATGAAGGGTTTTTTATTTCATAACGGGGGATGGGGTATAATTCCAACCAAGCATTATTAACCATAGCACGATCCAATTTAATGTGAATAGGTGCTTTGCTCTTTGATTGTACCAAGTGTAAGTATGACCAACAGAAGCTAGGTCTTTTAAATTGGAATAGAAATGAGAGAATTGAGATCATGAAGATTGCTCTGAAGTATAACATTTCCACTAATTTTTCAGGCAGATATCTACAATAATTGAAATCCCCCATTACAATCCAAGGGGTGTTGGAATTTGGAACCACTGCCCTCATATCATACCATAAAATCTTCCTATCATCAATATAGTTTGAAGCATAAATTATAGACAGGAAAAAGGGGAGTTAAAGTTGTATTCCATCAGCAAAATATCAAAAAAGAGGGCTTGGAATTAAGTCTATATGGAGACCATTTCAACCAAATCCTACCTGATTTGGAGCAATGAAAATTACTACATCTATCTTCCACAAATGATATATGGTTGTTTTTATCCAATCTTATTATTTTTAATATAATAATATTTTACTTTTAAGTTTGAGGGTATATGTTAAAAATTATCAACTATGATTCAAAGAATAAAAATTCCCAAGTTTCGATGAAGATATCAGCATTTATTTTTCTTCTCTTGATGTGCAAGCAATGATGATCTTTAATAAGATTGTTTATTTGCAAACTAATAGCCTATTATTTTAATGGAATACATGCATGATTACTTACAATGCAGATAGTTGACTATAGCTTCGTTTTGGGATAATTTTTTTATTGTTTTATGGAGTCATTTGTTATCATAAAAATTTTTTAATTTAAATATTTTGTATTAAAATGTTGCTTCATAAAGCATTAAGAAAGTTGTCTCAAATGAAGCTTATATTTTAATTAAGGATCATAAGTTGTGTGATAGGGTTGCAAATTTTTTCTACAAAGTTTTGATACACAACATTTCATAAGTGAAATATGCCATGGATTTGTATTTTTCTTTAACACATGAATTAGCTGCAATCACTTGCTTATTACTTTTTCAAGAAATTAGATTTTCAACATAGAAATTGTATCCCAAAGTAGATTTTCAATTTTCATTATATCTAGTATAATAAACATAAGAAAAGAATTCAATTCTCAAATGATTGTGTTTTTGATACACGAGGCTTTTTTCTACATATTTGTTTATGTATCTTAAAATTTTGTGGAATCTCTACAAAGGAGCTAAACTTGCTGAGCCCATAAGAGCAGGGATATAAATTTTAGGTTTTTATAACCCAGATGTTGAATTTAATAAGAGTGAAATTGATTAATAAGACTATTACTTAGGTTTAGTACCTCTTTAGGTGGTATCAATTAATTGAGCGCATTAGATGTATATCTTGTAATAAATAATATGTAAACCTTATCTTCATGCATTTGCTCTATAATAAATGGGATTTCTAAGTAGGCTTGAATTTTTTACCTCTTTACATGTAAACAATGATAGGATGAATAAACATAATGATAAGATCTCTTTTTATGTAGGTCCTCTATCCAAGCAAATTGTGATAATCATAAACCACTTCCCAAGAGTGATGCACTCATTAACTTGGTAATCTAATTCCTATTAATGAGTTTGCTATATGTATTTTTGGCTATCTTCAAATTTAAATGCACCCTACCAATTGTGAGAAGATTACTATCATAACCAAAAGGCATGCTCTGCTATAAAGTGATGATCTTCAACCATAAGAATACTAGAGCCACCTGCCAATGAATGATGGATCAAATATTCAAAGATCATAAGGGAAAAAAATAAAGGTATTTGTCGATGACTTGCTCGTGAAAAGTAAAACCATAAACATCATAACCAAGTTTTGAAAAAAGATTTCCCCAACTTAAGAATATACATTTTCCCTCTAAAGTATATTTTTGGAGTCAAATTAGAAAGTTCTTAAAGTTCCTACCCACTCCTAAAGGCATAAAGGTAAACCCAAATAATGTAAAAGTAATCACAGATATGGCTTCCTCAATAACTGCTAAGTAAGTGCAATGACTAATTGGGTGAGTCACAAAGCTCAATCATTTAATCTCAAATTCAGAAGAAAGGTGCGTGCCCTTCAAAATTTTGGGGAGTGTTACAAATTTCACGTGGAAAGAATAATGTAAAGCCACCCTCCAACAACTAAAGTTACTCCAATCCTCTCTTTCACAATTACAAAGTTCTCAACCTAGGGGGGGAGACATCTTAGGGTGGGAGAAGGTGCCATTAAGCTTTATTCTAATTCAAAAAGAGGTGAAAAAAAAAATATCAATGTACTGTGTAAGCAAGGCCCTCTAAGGAAAAGAATTTAGATATCTCAACATGGAGAAACTAGCATGGAAACTAATAATCATAGCTTGGTAGCACATTATTTCTAGGCACAACTCATTCAATTCATTATGGATCACTTGCTCAAAATAGTACTCACCAAACTCGACCATTAGAGAATATTAGTAAAGTGAGCCATGGAGTTAAGGGATTCCAAATTTCTTATAGATACATGCTCCCAATGATGACAACCATATATAATAGGCCTCAATTCTCAAACAAAAAGATTAAGGAATCTCGCCAAACTCAAAGGATTCATCTCAAATTCACCATGGTTTTTTACTCACATACCAGTGAGTACATAGAAGCAATAAATAGGTAAGGGGCTAAAGGAAAATGGGTTGAAGTATTATCATCCATTATGTGGGCCCTAAGAGCCACATCATCCTCAATAATAGGCTTGGCTCCCTTTGTGCTTTTTAAAAAATGGAAGTCCTACTCCCAATCTAGCATAAATTGCATAACTAATGAGTGGTAATCTCCTCAACTTTTAAAGGAGAGTTATCAAAATGACAGTAAAGGAAT